GGGGGGGGGGGGGGGGGGGGGGGGGGGGGGGGGGGGGGGGGGGGGGGGGGGGGGGGGGGGGGGGGGGGGGGGGGGGGGGGGGGGGGGGGGGGGGGAGTGGACAGAGGCTCAGTGCAGGCGAGGGCAGGCCCAGCCCAGGCAGATTGATTCCATGTTGTCCCCCCGCATTTGGGCTTGTCACATTTGTTTGGAGCTGATTGATTAATGAGGCTCTCAGGGAAGGCAGAGAAAGAGGCTGGAAGTGGGGGCTCAGGGTCAGCACTGTGAATTAAACATGGGCTGCAGCTCCTTCCTGGCGCCAGCTGAGGATTCCAGGGTCTCCCGCCACAGTGGAGCCCTCCAGAGAAGGGGCCATCACAACAAGGTCTGTCTTCACAGATGGGGAATGAGCTCACGTGTGCACACACGTGCACGTATGTGCAAAATCTCTTGCGTAGTTTGTGGCAGCAGTCCTAGTCTACGTATCTGCTTCTCCCTGGTCGCTAATCAGTGTGTACGTTTGTAATTCTGTTGAGTCTGGCAAGGACATCATGCATGTGAATGCACATGTGAATACCTTTCAGAGTGCATGTGTGTGTGCATGTGTGCTTGTGTGTGTGTATAACATGGGCAGGTGAGCAATTGGGTGCGGGGGGGAGCAAGTAATACAGTATGGAAGGGAGAATAGACTAGAATAACGCCCTCTGCAGCTGCTCTTGGGGTTCAATGGGACCCTGGCTTGGGGCCTTGGCTGTCCCCCTGACCTCTTGACTGGCTCTGCCTTATAGGGGACCACCATGTCGTCCAGTTGCAGCTCAAGTCCAAGGAGACAGGCATGACCTTTGCCAGCACCAGCTTTGTCTTCTACAACTGCAGCGTCCACAATTCGTAAGTGCTCCCAGCCTCCTTTGGCCCCCTGTTCCTGCAGTTAAGTTTCGTCCAGAAATAAGAAGACCCCAGCACTGTCCCAAGGAGGCACCATGGAGAGGCTCCAAAGGAGGCCATCTTCACCCCTCAAAGGAGACGGACTACTCCCCTCTGGTACTCACAGGGTTAATGGAAAGAACAGCGGGAGAACCTGGGGCAGGGTGCGGGCCAGGGGTCTCTCCAAGTCCCCAGCCCATACATCTTCTCTGGCATAAATCTTTCTAACCTGATTCAGCTGCACCATCTGTTGAGGAAGAGGGGCATCTCACCTGAAGAACAGAGGAGGGGGTCTGAGGACGGGCAGAAGCCCCCATGTGTGTCCAGGGAAGGGCAGGTGGTCTAGCAGCTCGCCTGGGTGCTCAGCTCCCACAGGCTCCTGCAGGCCAGGTCAGGACACAGGCTCCTGCAGTCCAGGTCAGGACACAGGCTGGTGTGCGGTGGTCAGGCTCTGGTGTGGAGAGAGAGGCTCAGGCTCTGCAGTCAGGCCAGCTGGGAAACTTAACCATTCTGGGCCCCTGCGTTCTCCATTACAGGGACATAGTAGGACTCCTTCCAAGGACATCACCCCAGCATTTAACAACTGGCATAGCAAGAGCACTGTCCTTGCTGGGGACACTGTACTGGTGGTCCCCTACATATCAGTCCTGTTTGTCCCCCAAGATGGCTGTGAGGGTTGAAAGAGCTTTAATAAGGAGAGTGTTTGGAACCATGTCTGGCCCACTGTTTAAGCACTGCTCATGCTTTTACCATTATTATATTATTATTTCCTCTATAAACTGACAGGGTTGGACCAGATTGGGGATGTGCAAGCTTTTTTTCCCACCATGGAAACCTTTCTTCACCTGAAATTAGCTGTGAAGTAGGAGCTACTCTGGTTGAGAGTTGAGGGGGCTAGAAGCAACTCTCTCTAGGAATCCCACACAACTCTTCACACATTCTCCAAAGGAGCTCCATGAACCCTCAGGGTTCCACAGAGCATAGTCTGAAAACCACAGGACCTCACCTGAAAAAGTCCTGTCGCTTCAGCACACTGTTCTGTTTGCCCCTGCCCATGGTGGCTAGGCAGCTGATGTGACCATAGACACTTGGGGGCTCTAGGCTGGTGGAGTTTCAGAGTCAATGGACGTGATTGCGGCAACTTTGAGTCCAGAGCTTAGCTGTCTTTGGGGTCCCACGTAAGGAGGGCATTCAGCCCTCTCAGCCAAAAGTGAATTGCTTCAACTCTGGAATTCTCTTCCTGCTTCTTGTCATGGAGCTGCCTGTGGCTTTACCACTCAGTGGCCTAATACTTCACTCTGCTCTTGTCCCCCTAGGAAAACAGAGGAGGCAGATGAAATCATAAGTTCCATTCAGATCATCAAATGATCTTAAGTGTCCACTATGTGCAGTGGGTTACTCATCAGATGCAGAGGAATCAAAAATTTATAAAACTCAAAGACTCAGTCCTGCCTTCCAGGCATTCGTGGCCTAGTGGACTAGTAGACAAGCTGGACAGTCAGTAGTGAGATGTGATATGAGAAGACCAGTACTGTCCCAGGGACACTGTATTAGTCCGTTTTTGTTGCTTATAATAAAATACCTGTTGCTAGGTGATATATAAAGAAAACAAAATTTATTGCTTACAGTTTCTGAGGCTGGCAAGTCCGAAGTCCAGCTGGTGGTGGTGTTGACAGTGACCCAGGGGTCTCACATTGCAAGATGGTGGAAGCAGAGAGAGCAGAGAGAAAGACAGACAGATTCTTCTCTTCTTTTAAAGCCCTCAGAACCATGCCCCTGACCGCCGTTTTTTAATCCATTCACTACTGCATGGTCCTGCAATCCAATCACCTCTTCAAGGCTCCACCTTTCAATTACCATAATAGGATTTCCCACCCTCCTAACAGTCACAGTGGGAGCCACGTTTTTAATACATAAAACATGGGGGATACAATTTAAGCTTCATTGAGTTTTGGGGGGACATAATTCAATCCGCTGCAGACACCAACAAAGAGCTTCATGGAGAGGGGCCCAGAGTAACCAGCTCTGCCTCAGCCAAGGCATTGGCCAAGTGGGGACAAACAGACTCCAGGGGGAGGGACAGCATGTGGGGAGAGTGTGGCCTGGTCATGGCCACAGCACCAAACCCCTGTGGGGACAGAGGGCCTGGACACATGGTGGACCTAGCCTGTGTGGCCAGGCATTTGAGTTTTTGGAAAAAGGGAACCATGTTGGGTTTTTAAGCAATAAACTGTCATCAATTTGCCTTTGTTTCCTTGGGGTAAAGAGTAGAGAATCTCATCGTACTGAGGAAGCAGTCTCGGTATGAGCTTCCTTCTCCAGGGTGGGTCCACGTGGGTCCTTGACAGCTGAAACCTAGAGTCAAGTCAATTTACTAAAACCTGATTTTTTGTTTGCCCCAACTCTCATGGTCTCCCTAGACAAGCCTCTCTACTCCAAACCTTACCCTTCTGGTCCTCAGCAAAGGAGGACATCATCCTATAGAGGTGGAGGCAGGTGGATCAAGGCTAGGGGGTAGAGACTGCTGGCTTCCTGAGGACTGGGAGGGACAAGGGATAGACTTGTATAAGATCTGACCCTGCTGAGTACTTGAGGGTGGGCTCTCTCAGTATTACAAACATTTTGCTAGACCCTCTGCTGTGGGCTCACCCGGCTCTGTGTCTGTGCCTCTCCCTCTGCTGTGCCCAGGTGCCTGTCCTGCGTGGAGAGCCCATACCGCTGCCACTGGTGTAAATACCGGCACGTCTGCACCCATGACCCCAAGACCTGCTCCTTCCAGGAAGGCCGTGTGAAGCTGCCCGAGGTAGGTCCCCAGCAGCCAGAGTAGTGAATGCCACTTGCTGTGAGCGTGGGACATACAAGGCTATCCTTCCCCTAGGACCACTCCCTTCCTCCCCAGCCCTGGCTCTTAAGGGACCACTTCATGAAAGCAGTAAACCAGCCAAGCTCTGCACTGGGGACATGGGTTCTGGGTCAGCCCTGGAAGTTCAGTTACAAAGGTGGAGGTCACTCTAGCCAAGTGAGTTCTAGAACAATTCCAGAGAGATGGGTATGTGTGTGTGTATGTGTGTGTGTCCTAGAAATAATTGTGAGTACACAGCAGAGCTGTGCACAAGCTCCTTGGTGGTTCCTCAGAGCACCATTCTCACAGAAGAACTGAGACCAAGGAGGACAAGTTGAATAAAAAGGAGAGAAGAGGACAAATGAAAGAACGGTCCCTCATGTGTAGTTCTCAAAGTGTGCTTCCTGGACCGGCAGCGCTGTGCCTCAGCACGTGTTAGGAGTGCAGAGTCTCCGCAGCCTGAGCTTTCACGATCCGCCAGGTGATTCTGGGGCTTGAAGAATCACTAGTGTAGGCTTAGGCTCCACAGCTAAGACGTCGTCTTTCTATCCCCTCCTAATTTTATTCTTATCCTTGGAAACTCTTCATCACCATAATAAAAATACATTCTGCCTATGTGGTTGCCTCTCAGAGTGTAAGATTGTGGGTAAGGACCTCAAAGATAACAGACATAAAACCACTTTGGAAAAGTCTGTTGCTGTTCAAACATTACGGTGCTTCTTGCATTCTCTCGGCCAACACTGAACTCAAACAGGCTCCAGCATCTTTACCCAGCCTACTGGTCTTAGGTGTACCTTCCATCCCCCTCCCCATACTAACACAGGCGCTATGACCACGTGGCAAGGCCCCCAGCACGGACAGCAGGGTGCAGGAAGCACAGGAGCTGTTCGGGGGGCAGGAGTGACATTGAGAGAACAGAGAGGCCCATCACAGAGCCCCCCTAGACTCATACCCCACTAGCAACACTACCTTTAGCCAAACCCTTAGTGGTGGGAGGGAGGCTGGGAGAGAAGATTGATATACGCCATACCACCTCCCGCTGCACTGGGCTGTCCTAGCGTGGGGGCAATGTGACTGAACTGCTCTCAGCCATCAGAAAAGCCAAGCCCCAAGTCCCATTTAGCCCAGTCCCTGATGGTGGAGCAGGAGTTTTCTAGGTGGAGAGTGGGCAGAGAGATTTATTTTAGAGGTAAAGGCAATCAGTGGTGAGGTTGTCAAGGGAGAGAACGATCCCAATCAAGTTGGGGACAAGGGGAGCAAAAATAAAAAAAAAAAAGCAGTAATTTGAAAACCTCCATCAAGATAATTAAATGATCAGGGGCCTTTGAAATCTACCTGACAGCTCAAT